TTAGAATAATGTCTGAGAAATTATGAGTGAAAGCTAGGGAGTATACCGTGTTGAATAACAGGTGGAAGCAGTGTGACAGGTTGAGGGGAGAGTAGTTCCAAAGTATTAGAAATCAAGTTAAGAAGTTGTGAATGAAGTGAAACTACATTATGCAACCTGGGAATACAAAGAGTGAGAAGGACAGTGAGAGGTTAGGTTAAGTTAGTGTGTCAGTTGCAGGAATGACTGATGAATTGAATCGACATAGCATAGGACACGGCATGTAGTAATAGAAGCACTGAGAAATACATAAAGAAGAACAGCATGATGAAGAACGATGAACAGAGTGTAGAGAATAAAATATGCAGATAAAAGTGGAAGAGAATATCCGTGTGTGTGTGTGTGTGTGTGTGTATGTGTGTATGGTTGCCAGGTGGAACATTTTCCTCTACCATGCGGGCGCAACACACTCAGCAACCTAACCGATGTCAATACACACACTGGCATGCTGTACTTTCTCTCCTGCTATAATACTTCCTTCACAACTCACTATATCCATTTACAACCTCTTGTCTGCACAGTATAAGTCATCCATTTCCACCAATACAACTTCATTGGTTGTTAATCCCATGAAATTCTACGCTACAAGTATCACACCGATCGTTCAGTACTCGTGATAACAAGTAGCCTAAACACAGTACGTAATTAATAACAGATTAAGATATAAAGTAAACTGTTGTTATTTCTGTTCTATCAATAACATGAGCCACACCCCGTGATTGACCCCCAGCTCGTTAACAGGTCTCGTTACAGTGTCTCGTTACAGTGAGGTAGCAGTGACGACTTTAATAATACATTTACTACGACGCCAAGACAAAGTGAAGTCTATTTCCTGTACGCAGATTACAGAGCATAGGAGAGCACACATCGTACATCCTCATCTTTGTGTTGTTATGAATGTGCCATGGTGCGTGTGTGTGTGTGTGTGTGTGTGTGTGTGTGTGTTTAAGAGATACCAAATCATACTATCTTAAGACACACACACACACACACACACGAGGAATATCACAAAAACATAGAATTAATACAAGACTTTTTCCTGCTACTTTTTTCCCTAACCAAAAACCATGTTTTTTTCCCTGTGACTTTATTTCCTTTCACCACAGGATAACCTTTACCTGTTGATATTTGTTATTGGTAAGCAGACCGAATGACTTCTATTGAACACTCCAAATTATTATCACCAGAGGAAATGTTGTCATCAGACGTACTATACTTATTCTGTTGAAATGATAACGTTATCACTGTTGGAGATCTCTCATGATAACTCACAACTCACAAAATATTACCTAATTATTAATTAAATTGACGATATGAGTACCAAATGGAGAGTCCCTTATCAGTCTATCTCATATCTTCAAACTTATTGCTTTTTGAGTGAGATGGGTGGTCATAGAATCGACTTGTGACCTATCATGGTGGCTGTGCAGCTATCATGTGATAAGAGAAGATACTGACAACAACTTTCATTTGAGATAATGTAAGTGTTAGGAGGTGGTGGTGAGTGAGGCTTCTTTATATGATTATCCAGTAGCTTATGTAACTAGTTAAGGTTTGTTCTGTTGTTGCTACTGACGATAGATAGGGTATAATTTGTTCATTTCCTGGCTGTGTGTGTGTGTGTGTGTGTGTAAAACTAGCGGTGGAGTTATTGTAATACTGGGGGGGGGGGGTTAATTATGAACATTCCTTTAATATTAACGTCAGTACTGCGATGCGGGTGTCCTCGACTGGTGACCCCGGACGTAAACAATTGTAGGCACGTTACCCTAAGGACTACGTACAGTACCTGGTCCTTGTTGCTAGTCTATACTACTTAGTGTGCTTCCCTTTTATGACGTATCACTTGTACAATTTTAAGAACATGAGAAGGAAGGAAAACTAGGCATATTGACCCATACTCTAGGCAGGTATAGCCCCGTTTACACCCAACCTTCATCACTCATCTTAGTCTGTCTCTTTGCTCAAGGCTCCTGATGCCCGGGATTAGCTTTGTCATCCGCATCCGGATTCCTTCTATGGAGTCTTATGTTCATTCTGCTGAATGCAGTGACCAAAACTGGACTGCATAACCCAAGTGCAGTCTCACAATTGCGGGATTATACCGTAGTTTAAGGATGATGTAAATGTGTGTAAGAACAGAGTTATTACAAATAAGAGATAGATAAATGCGTGCAATTACCAAGTAGATACATGGAAGCACTCCCTGCCTCCCTGCCTGCTCCCTGTCTCCCTGTCTCCCTCCCTGCCTCCCTCCCTGCCTGCTCCCTCCCTCCAATTCACAGCGTCTCAGGGAGAAGGCAGGGAGCAGGCAGGGAAGGAGGCAGGGAGCAGGCAGGGAAGGAGGCAGGGAGCAGGCAGAGAGGGAGGCAGGGCGCAGGCAGGGAAGGAGGCAGGGAGCAGGCAGAGAGGGAGGCAGGGACATTTTTCTGGGACACCCTATATGCTTGGGGAGGTATAACACAGCGGACTAGTGACCCCAAGATAGAACTGAACTCGTACGACCAGGTTCACCATCGGTGACCTTGACCTCTGTCCCTGTGACCTCCTGCAGTAGTAGGGTGATGGTGAGGCCGACCAACATTTTACGCGATCTGTTGGTATGGAAGACTACACACACACACACACACACACACTGAATCACCAAAGAGAGGGACAATCCCCCTTCTCCAGGTTGGTGGTGGTGTAGAGGGCCACGCTCCCTGACACAACATATAGAGCATGACCTACCCTGCCTACACCCAAAAGCCTGGCCGCACTATTTGTAAACTTTGTGGCTTACCCGACTCTCACACCCTCTCTCACTACATCCTCAATTGCCCTACGACCTCCTCCTACAGGTCCCCAGCAGTTACCAACACCTCTTCCCTCCCTGACCAGATATCCCTCCTCCTAGAGACAGGCCTGAACTTAACATTATTAGGGACCTGCCACGCTTTGCCATAAACAGATGAATTGTAACTGGAATTCTCTCCTCCACACACTCATCATTCTGTCACTACATGTAACTTGCTGACAAATCCTATGGCCCTTCAGGCACTTGCGTCCTTAATGCATGAGTCATGAAGGCAAACATGAACTCCGCATGCTTCCCTGCTAGGAGCTTTAAACGCTTTTGCGCTTTGCCGTACACAGGATAAACTAATCCCCTCGCGGAGCAAATCTGAAATCTGTCACCCAAAATACACTACCCACCCTCCCTGCCACCCACAACCATCCCTCACTACCACCTTGCCACCTACAACCATCCTCCACTACCACCCTGTCACCTACAACCATACCCCACTACCACCCTGCCACCCACAACCTACAACCATTCCCCACTACCACCCTGCCACCCACAACCATACCCCACTACCACCCTGCCACCCACAACCTACAACCATTCCCCACTACCACCCTGTCACCCACAACCATCCCCCACTACCACCCTGCCACCCACAACCGCCACCCACTTATCAACACACCACTTTCTGCCACCCACCAACCTTCACACTCCCATCTGTTGTTTAAATAAGCCTATTAAAAAAAAATAAAAAAAAATGGTAAATACTGATATATTTTTTTCCTGTCAGAAACTAAATGCGACTCGTAGCCTTGGGTAGGTTAGGTTAGTTGTGGGAGGTTAGGTTAGGATAGTGGAGGTTAGGTTAGGATAGGATATGGCAGGAAAAATATGCCACGATTTCTTAATTAATCTGCTGGAAAATATAACTTTTTTCTTTATAGTTGATGTCGTGTCCAGAATAACACCCATATAAAGACAAGTAATTAGTAAGTTCACCAAGACGAAAAAAAAATATATATATATATTCCCTCGAGCGAAAGTCATACGAGTCGTAGAAAGAAGCATAGACGGCTCAATAACTATCAATTTGGCTCATTGACACATCCCATTTCAGTCTCAAATAGTCTCAGGTCGTTTACACAACTAAATCACAAACATGTTTTCTTTTCGGTATGTTTTTTTACGTATTAATGTTCCTCTGACCTTGACGGTAAATAAATAGTTTTCATGGACGAGCCCATTCCCTTTGCTTCGTCGTCATTGTTAATTAAGTGGTGCAACTATAGCGTGCGGTCTGTAAGATATTTAGGTTAGGTTAGATAAAGTTAGACTATCGCTATCTTTGTAGACCGCTTGCCTATTTTGTAGGTGCTAACAGTACGTAACAGAGAGCCAGTACTTGCCAACAGTACGCAACAGAGAATCAATACCTGCCAATAGTACTACGCAACAGAGCCAGTACGCGCCCAGTACTTACCGACAGTACAGTACTCAACAAAGTAGCAAAGAGAATAAATGAAAAATAATTTAAATAACCAGTAATGCATGAGGGATGACACCAACTGCACACGTTATCTCAATGAGGATATTGAGGTAACTGCTGATCTGTACTTTAATCGACCTTCACTGGGGGTCGTCACAGGGCTAGTAATAACCCGTATGACTAATACTGTGTAACTGATTCCTGACGTGTATATCGGGCAGGTGATTAATTATATTATCACCAATTTTAAACATTAATAGATTATTGCATTTTGTTTTTCTCGTATTGTTCGTCGATAATCTATAATCATCCTTACAAGCAAGTCGGTAGTAGTAGAACGATTGCTAATATTTTCAAGTATATTTCAAGGGCTCCAAATTTCTTTGAATCCCCCACTTAATGACGTCATCATGGTAGCGAGCACTGGTTGGCTAATCGATCGGATGAGACACATCCTCTTACATGCTGGTTTTAAATGACACAGTATGCGCTGTAAGTACTTTATAATCACTATATGTTTTAATATCGTGGTTTACATTTTTAACATTACATCTATTACGAAAAAAATAGAAGATTTTCAGTATTCATAAATGAGTTAAATTTGTGTAAATATTTAAAGTTCTAGCGAGAGTGGGACGCTTATCGCTAAGCTCCGCCTACCGTGCGTTGACAGAATAACATGGGCACTGGCGCACCGGTACAGCCAGTTAGCTCTGAGCCGGCGTCTTGGGAAGTCGATACGATCTTGACTCAACGAAGCTGCTTGCTGTAGCTACTCTGTGACTCTATCAATATCGTGGTTGGTGCAATTGGTTTTTACTTTTGAGGAGTGATGGCGCCACAAGCCCCAGATCAGGAAGTTAAAGGGGAGCTGTTGGAAGATGATACGGCCCCCCACCACCACGACATGGAGGTGCGAGAAGTAGATATAAGTCTACGGAGAATCATCCACGATCTTCGTCATCTGGACTGGTCTAAAGTAGTTTGGCGAAATGCAATATTGTTCGCACTCTTACACATGTACTCTGTGTATGGGTTATACCTGGCAATTTTCGCAGTAAAGTGGAAAACGATAGGTTTCAGTGTGTTGCTGTACTTCATGGCTGCGTTAGGGATTACAATGGGTGCTCACCGCCTGTGGTCTCATCGATCTTACAAGGCAACTTTACCACTACGTGTGATTCTTGCAGCTTTCCAGACACTGTCTTTCCAAAACGACATCTTTGAGTGGGCCAGGGACCACCGAGTGCACCACAAATACAGTGAAACAGACGCCGATCCCCACAACGCACGCCGCGGCTTCTTTTTCTCTCACATGGGGTGGCTCATGTACCGCAAACACCCTAAAGTTATTGAGAAGGGCCGTAACCTAGACCTGTCTGACCTGAAGGAAGATGCAATAGTGATGTGGCAGCGCAAACACTACGTACCTGTGGTGTTATTAACGTGCTTCGTGATGCCCACCTTCCTCCCATGGTTTTTCTGGGAGGAAAATGCAGTCAACGCCCTAATGGTGGCTGGCTTCCTTCGCTACACCACCGTCCTTCACGTCACCTGGCTTGTCAACTCCCTGGCTCATTGGGTAGGAAACAAGCCCTTCGACAAGAGTATTTACCCTTCCCAGAACCCCGTGGTGGCTTATTTGGCGTTAGGCGAGGGCTGGCATAACTATCATCACGTTTTCCCCTGGGATTACCGCACCGCCGAGCTCGGGGGACTAGTCGACTACAACATCACGAGCCTGGTCATCGGCTTTTGCAGTAAGATTGGGTTGGCTTATGATCTAAAGACAGTCACGCCGGAGATGATAGAGAAGCGAGCCAATCGAACAGGAGACGGCAGTTACGTGGAAAACGCCATGAAGACGAAGTGAGGAACTAGTTCTTATTGCACAAATGTATATTCTACACGCCCACAAGCACAATGGCACTTCAAACACCTCTCCCAGCGCTCTATAAAAGTTTTCTTGCAAGTCAAGGTATTTATATACGTGTAGAGTAGAAGTGATGTTCAAACTTCCATGAGTAGGTTTTGTTTTTCATTTGTTTTGGATTTCAATTTGAATAACGGAACTAATATAAAGTATATATATAGTAAATTTTTCTAAGATTTTTTTTATAAGGAAAACATTCGAATCCCATGATGAAATACAATTTTTCCTGATATGGCAGAATAGAATAAAATGTTTGTCTTGGGTAGAAATTATATATGTATGGAAACTGGTTGTACCCAAGTGAAATCTGGGGTGTATTTCCCCCGGTAAACAAAAGGTTTTTGGGTATTAATTAGGTTATTTAGTTCATCTAATTTATATTTTGTTTAAACAAGTTTAACATTTGTAATTTGCTGTGAACTTGAATTAATTTGGAAATATTCAGAAAACTTTATTTAATGTTCAAACTTGTAAATTCCTGGCGGCGTACCTCATTTGGTGCGACGCTCAAAGATAAGCGGTAGTACGTGTCAAGATCATTATCATTAAAATACATTAGTTCGTTCTTGAGTTGTCACTCAGATTTAAGTCTCCGAAATGTTGAAGCAAATTTTTTGATTCGGAACTTCATTATGGATGACCGATTTAGGACATGCTCCCTTGAAGTTCCACGAAGCATGTTAACTACAGTACTCATTGAAGGTGGCAACAAACGAGTTTATTGTAACTTATTTAATTTTAAAGCGTGTCTTCTTGATTCTTGCAACTTGAAGGGTTGGTTTGTTTGGCATTGTTTGTACCTAGACTTGGCACTATAAGTAAGGAATTTTAAGTGAAATTTATGCATAAATATAGTTTGATCATTATTAAGCAATACTTTATATATATATATTACTTTTGGTTTTAGACATTGTCCATAATTATCATGCTTGTCACCATCCAGACTGGGAAACCTTTTCAAGCTAACATTCTTGTATGCCAGCCAATTTTGTCATGTTTTCTTTTTCGTACAGCAGTATGGCCGTGTCTATAAGTAACCTTTCTCTACCCTCTTTGTCAATGATCTGCCTAATTAACATTAATCACATGACCATTCACTATATACGATACCTTTTATCTTTCTAGTCATAGTTTAATTATTAATGGTAATGGACGTAGAGATTCGTCAACGCCACACAAAAATCTCAGCCTCATTCTCTAGCCTACAAATAACCTTCCCCCTACCTTGATCGTAACTGAGAAAACGTGAGACCGTGAGTCACTGCTTTGGGGGACTGCTTCATGTCTTCCTCGGTCTCCCGTTATTTCTTATCATAGTTGTTAAAAAATCATATTCTTTATACGTGAATTTAAAAGTTAAGGAATTTCATATGGATATTTTATATAAATTAGACTTCATATCGATTAATTTTGTCACTGTCGGTTACGCTTTTAAACTTCCACGTGGATTAAATCAATAAAACATAATTTCATCTTGATAGGTAGAGCGACGTGGCCGTAGTATCAGAGTATTGGCTAAGACGGTATCAAATGGCTTTAGAAACCCACATTATATTTTCTGCGCTCTTAAATGAAATGAAGTGAAGTAGTGTTACTTCAGCCAACTGTAAACCCGTGGACTGAATAAAGTTTTCAAAATATTTCAGAGTTGAGTTGTGTTGTGTTGTAGTGTAAGAGGTGTGTAGGATGGTGGTTCGCACGAGTGAGGAATCCAAGTACTTTGTTTACCTCTATCAGCTGACTAGGTTGAGCACATGCCCGCCCTCACCTGACCACGTAACCGGAGTTATTTAGAGTATATTTCTCGATTGTGTATGAGCTGCATTACCATTCACTATTTTGTTACGTGTACTAAAAGTTTATGGTGGTGCCAAAGGGTGTATTTATAATTGACACCACCATTTATTATTCTTGAGTGTAATACATTGCCCTTGTCGTCATAACCTCAATAACAGACGAGGGACTAGTTAAAATGACTTTTACCAGAACATGTGTTGCCCAAGAGTAGGGGAATAGTGGTGTCCTGATTCACCATACCTCGCTGGTGAGTCTGGTGTTGCCTGCACCACCATTGCCTCCTGGCGAGTCTGGTGCTGCCTGCACCACCACTGCCTGCTGGTGAGCTTGGTGCTGCCTGCACCACCACTGCCTCCTGGTGAGCCTGGTGCTGCCTGCTGGTGGCAAATTTACCCACTTTCGCCCACTCTACTTTGGAAGGCTTCATGTGGCTCCAGTAAAACTATTATTTTTTTGTCAATCTTATCTGTGGCATTGGATATTTGTCCATGGTTAGGCAACAGCAAGTTTAAAGTGATCACTTATTAAATACATTTGATACCAGCAAGGTTAGTTATATACTGGTTTTGATAATCAATGTTTGACGTTCAAACATCGTGAATGAATTGTTTATATTATATGTATATGCAGAAGTTTAGTGAACTATTTGAAACATAGTGACCTGTCAGTGTCTGATAGGTTATATATTCTTTTGTATTGCCACCATCTGAAGGGTGTTACTGAACTTTTGTAACAATTTGAGAATGGTAGAATTATTTTTTCCTGCGTGATAGAATTTCATCAGAGTAATCTGGTATAAATCACATGTGATAGAATGTTACCCCATGTATTGGAGTGTGATGAGTACGATAGAGGCCATGGTTACATTCCAGCAAAGCTTAATATTACGAAGATAAAACATTAAACCGTGTGATATAAGCATTCATATCAAAATTGTCAAATGTATAATTCTTTGAAATTGACTGTATTAACTTGCAGGAGAATATATAGTTACTAGTTATATCTCAACTACTGTATATGGTGTTCATAGGTAGGGTTGGGCAAGCCAGCCTAGCCACAGACGAGCACCCACTGCCCACAGTCCGGTGTGTTTGGTGGCTCTTCCTTACTTTACTCTTGCAGTACCACTCAGGATTGTGAACTGTTAATTTTCACACGACCAGTCAAGAGCTCATCCTGACCTTTTGAATGACCAATTGGATTGCAGTATTAGATTCACTCACTGGACCAATCAAATTCTGATTGAAGTTTCCGCTCCCAAATAGGCTACATGCTTATGTATGGATTTGTATAATGTTCCTTGTTTAGTTTATTATGCAAGCTGATTATGTACTGCATGTTGTATTATACCAGCCTATACCACAGTACCTCCGGAAGACCGGTGTGCTTGATAAATGCCATATCTTCACGATTGGGCCCTCCCTTGCTTTGTACTGTATTTAGCTCTACCGATTCATCAAATATATGAAGGAGTCCCAGTCATGGGTTGTGTATTGATTGTATTAATTATCATGTATGCTTTAAAGACACTCCAGTATTTGTACAGGGCTGCCACATACATAGTTTGATGAATCGGTTTTTATAATATCTGCTGTAATGTTTGTTTTGCTGTCAAGGCTGTTGTATGATATATTCTCCTCTGCTGGTTCTGTATTATCATGTATTACCCATTCCAGTCCTGTTGTATAAAATACATTTCTCCGTGCTGGTTCTTCTGTATAATGTAATATCATTCTCAGTCGTGTTGTAAGACAAAAAAAAAACCTTCTGTGATATGTGCTACAATGCAACTGCTTCAGGAAAGGTTGAGAAGACATGATGTCACCGTGTCACATTGGACCGTGTCAACTGCGTGTCTAACGGCGAACGACGCTGCAAATCATTCCTCTACACGCAAACACCCCGCCATGTCATTTCTTACCTCTCCAGGTGTACATACATACATTCTCACAAAAAATAACTCCAGGTTCATACCTTAACCAGTATCATGGTACCATTTTTATATCATATATACTTATAGTTGTGTGAAATGTGTTTTAAGGGAAATTATTTTCTTTACTTGTCCTGAAACGGATCCGACTTCTACTGCATTAAGTCGACCATTTGCATATTTTTTTCGTATTATAATTTGATTTTTGTTCTGTACTTTCGTAAGCTGTTGTCTGTTGATTTTTTGTATTGTGTGACTGTTTTGAGTTGACCAAACCGTTTCACGTTTAAGGTAAGAGTTCTCAATTTTTATTCTCGCATTTTAGGGGTGACGGTGAAGCTTGATCAACAGATTCCCGTTGAGATGTTAGTCTTTGACCACTCCCTAGTACCACTTCCCAGAGTACTGTTATTGCCATACTATCACTTTTCGGACCACAATGTCAATATTACCAGACTGCTACCGTCAACCCCCACAACAGGTTTGGGTGTCCCCACTGGGCTCTGGCACAGCCTTGTTGACGTCAGTTTTTACAACACTACCTAGTGACCAATGTTTGGTATAATCTGGTTACCCACTTCAATTTTGTACGGTTTTAGTATGATTGATTTATGTTCCATTTGAATACTTATAAAGGTTTATTGTTATTTCAACAAACATTTATTTTTTCATGTTTTTGTACTGATGGCGTGTTGGGTGGCGCCAGCGTCCAGACACGTGTTATCATGGGAGACCTTTGCTGAAGTCATCACAATATGTTATAAGATGACCTGCCTGACAAGCAATGCAATTGCATGGAAGGTTAATTATTTTGTAAAGACTTTTTCAGAAATTGATGTAAAGCTGTTGCTCCTTAAGTGTACTTCAGAAATTATTGAAATCAGATGAGGTGTAATAATGTTATTTTTTGAAAATGTAATTATATACCTTTTGAATCTACATGTCTAAATAGGTTACTAGTCTTCCTTGGAAAGTTATCAAAATTGTAGTCAATAAAATGCGATGTAATCGATTTGTTTTAGTTATCCCTGTGAAGCTAAAACTGTCTATGGAAGAAAGGTGTTTGGTTAAGTGAAAGAAAATCCTGATTACAAGATTAAATAAAGTGAAATCTGTAAACACACAAGACGAGGAAAACTGCTCTGGTCAAGAACTGGTATAAACGCCTCTAGTATAAGGGGATAGCTGCATTGTTGGTTTGACAGAAAGCACACAAGCTGACTGAACACCTTACTCGTCTGAACATTTAATACCTGTACTCATTTAATACCTGGCATCCTCGTGGTTATGCTTTCACATCTACAAATATTATTAAATCTAGGCTCCGGCAACCATTTTGTAAACCTCAACGCACCTGATGGCAGAACAATGTCTTGCCCATCACACACCCACAAATTCACTGGATGGACATTGGTGTTGGAAAAGGCATAACCACTTACCATAATATAGCTTGTTGAGTTTTGTAACTAGTCGAAACCAGTGGGGAGTTGTAGTACACGTGCAAAGCCACATCCATAGATACACATACAGTACATAAATACATACATAGATAAACATACATACATACATAATGTACATGCATGCAAACGCATGCATGCACATACTTGTACTCGTATACATGCATGCATATACACATACATTTATACATACACATTCACAGATGCATGTGCACATACTTGCATGCATGCATACATACACATGTATACATAAAAACGTACCTACACATACATTACATACCTACATACGCACATTGACATAATTATATACAAATACACACATGCATACATACCCACGTACATAGACAAATACATACCTACACACATCCATACGCACACGTACATACTTACACTTGTGTAACGAGGATGGCCGGCCCTAGGGCCACCTGGGCGTGAAATTGTTTAAGGTGTAGAAACTCGCCAACACAACAACAGCACCTTAAGTTAACGTGTTGCATGATCTAGTGTCAAGGAATAGTCCAAGACCGGACAACTCGCCGACTGCACTGGATAACCATTACCCCGAAACACTATCCACAAATCGATTAACATCCAGGTTCCCAATTACTGCTGGGTAGACAGAGGTAAACGGCATTAAGAAACTTGCCCATAGTTACCCCCCTGCCCGGCGAAACATATTCCTGCACGTATACGTACATACATAACCACACGCATAATCAACTTGCATGCTCACATGCATCGAGCAATATATGCACACATTCATGCATACATATAAATGTTCTTACATTGATACATACACATGCATATATAGTTACATACGAACGTATATTGTACATACATACATACACACACATACTTATGTACTTGTAGGAACTCTAGTGTAGTTGTTTTAGTATTTTACACGTCTGCTAACATGTGTGGAGAATATTAAACACAGGGATGATTTACACATGCTAACGTGTAACATAATGTTAACATTAGAATGACCTCTTTTATATGTGAGAATGATCCACGAATTGTCACTAAAGGCCTCAACCACTGCCCCAGTATGTTGTAATCATATCTTGATCAACACCATGAACGAACAGAAACTGATGTACTGTATAGTGTTACCTCATATGTGTGCTTTTATCAACTGCTACTGAAGAGAATACGAGACACTTTGCGTCATTCCAAAAATGAATTTACAAATAATGAGAGGAGTCAGACTGTCGATGGTGTGTTTCTTGGGAGAAAAATATTTACCAAAGTTCAGCGTTTCTGTGGGTACATCTTGTAAAGAACTCCCCACCAACAAAGGACCTTGGAAGAAGCTGCTGTTTCATGACAATAGGACCCAATTAGCTCTTACTGTTCTCTTACGTGATGTCCTTGTGTGAAGATTAATTACTGCTTTTCCAGCTACTTTTATTTCATACACTGTATCTATGACATAACATCCTGGTAAACTTGACATAAGTGAAACGTCAGGGTGTCCATGGAATATATAAAGCCTCCATTTCTCTTGATACTCGCTTTACTCTGACCACTTTCCTCTTCATACACGTGATAACTAGCTTACAGTTAGCGTATATATATATAAAGGGTACTTGATACACTTGCTCATTACCACCTCTTATGTTTTCCTTCCGGTCACGATAAACGCCAACAAATTAGTGACTACAGTACCTGTCCTGATAGAGTCGGAAGACAAGTCTACTGCTCATCTTCCCAGATAACTTCTTGAAACGTGCTGTACATTTCATCATTGCACGATTCGCGTTCTATTTTCATTTATTTGTTCATTCCAGGAGGATATTTCAGGAAAAGGAAGCGAGAAGGATAATTTATGTAAAACATGGAATTAGCCTGTTAGGAGCCAGACTACAGTAGTCACTTGAACACTACAATGGTCTCTCTGAACTTAATCGACCTTCAGTTGATGAAACTGATGTATTGTTGAAATATCTTGGTGAGGCACCATGAGGAATTAAACAGATATAATTCAGATATTCGGGAAATATTAAGACAACGAAATACCTTCACTGGAACGCTACGATCAGTAAAACAGCGAGATTATTGACAAACTATAGGCTGAGTGCGGCGCCTCTACACTTAATAGTTCGCTTATTGTCAGAAAGTCTTACCCCTCACGGTACCTTCAACCTTTGGCCTACAATCACTGGAACTGGATCATTCAATCCTCGGCAGGCTCTGAGGATATAACAGAAGTTTCGTCAAAATCACTTAAGAACCTTAAACTATGTGCGTGCTGGACAGATGTACGAACAAGTAGTTGTTTGGACACTCTTCCTAGTCCCCTTGGTCCCTGTTCACCTAGCAGCAAAGTAGGTACCTGCTGTAAATCGAAAGTTGCGAATTCGTATTCAGGGAACTTGTTGGAGCTTCCAATAACTTGCTTAGACATAAACCATTGACTCTTCAGGCTTCTACGCCCTTGACTATTCAGGCTTCAATGCTCTTAACTCATGAGACATAAGGCAAGCATGAACTTAACATGCTTCCCTGTTGGGCGCTGTAAACGCTTCTGCGCTTTATCTTACACAAGGATGTAGAGGGGTGCCCAATAAAAAAAACGAATTAAAATTAAAAAAAATTGTGTTCAAATTTTAGGTTTTTAACGCAACCAACCAACGTAACAAATTACACATAAGACCTTAATTGTTAATTATTAAAGAAATTTTGCAGAAAATGGAGATTCAGTGATAGTGAACACAAGAATTTTTACACCTTTTATGAATGTTACGAAGGCCTGTTTATTTCGGCTATATATATATATATATATATATATATATATATATATATATATATATATATATATATATATATATATATATATATATATATATATATATATGCTGATAACCACAAGGAAAAAAGGAAACCACGAAGTTCCCAAGCGCTTTCGTGTAATTCACATCTTCAGGGGTGAGTACAGACTAAGGAGAAATACATAACAAGGCATATATATATATATATATATATATATATATATATATATATACAGTAGAGGAGGGTGAGATTAAGTCCACAATGGTCAGGTAACTAGGTAGTGACCCTACTATTCTTCAAAAACACCGCAGCAGTCGGTAGTCAGGTCAGAGGGTAAGATGACCCAATCTTCTCTTATGGTTACAAATCTTCTTACTTACGAAATTATCTAGTTTGTACATACCATTACTCAAATTCATGTTGACGGATTCGGTAAGTTTAATGAGACTAGATTCTATAATGTTCCTATAATGTGTGTAATAATAATAATAATAATAATAAACGGTTTATTAATAGAGTTGCAGCCGGTGGCTGAAAATATACAGACTTACATTAGATTTAGACATAATGATATAATATGCATTGAATACATTTACAGGGCTGTACAGTACATAAATCAGGAGTTGTTTATTATTTTAACAATAGATGGGATGGTGCTGTTCTTATATCTATCGGTGCAGGCTCTTATGGACTGAATTTTGTTGTAGTGGCGGACTGCGCGAGTTGGGTGGGGAGCTGCAGGTGGCAGGAGGTGGCGAGGGTGGTGCAGTAGTCTACGGCCAAACCTTTCCAGTGCTTGGTGGTGGAGGTCACTGAGGGATGGCATTTCCAGGGTGGAGAGAGCGTTGGTGTAGCCGGAGTATTCTGCGCCGAGCATGATTCTGCAGGCCCTTTTCTGTACCTTCTCTAGCTGACGTTGTTGGGTGGAGTTGAGAGAAGACGACCAGGCTGGTGAAGCATACGTTAGTTTGGGTGTGTGTGTCAAAACAGTTTTCTATTACCGGGCGTTTTCTTTGAGATTTCTTAAGAATCATGAATCTTCAGTGTTGCAAGTCCCACCTGGTGTATTGTAAACAAAAATGGTTGTTGTGAGCTCCAGACATTCCTGCTCATCCAACACGTCATAAGATGTGTTGCTAAATCTTGCTGATAAACGGAGAGATTCAATTTACAACAAGCAAACAAAAAATCTGCTCTAGGAACCAGCTCTTTTTACTGGATATTGTTTTTGTGTTTAAGGCTCTTTAAGCACATTCAGTTCTAAAAGGCAACATTCAAAATTAATAGAAAAGCTCATATTGGTTACTTGATATTTTAGATCCAATGATACACTATTTTCAATTACTGGCCAGGCCACCAAACATTACTAGCCAGGCAAAATCTCGTCTCACGTGTAAAATATAATAGAGCTCCTTACACCAACAGGAATGTTTTCAAAGATTTCTGGATCAAGAATAATGTTACTGATAATCAAAGCTTATCTTTATGCAGTGCTCGACATCAACGTAGATCTCGGTAGAACGTCTAATATCAATGTGTGTCTTTGCAGAGCGACTGACATAGTTTAAGTCTTAAGGGATTGTGCTGGTCCTCTAGGGGTGGGTGGGCGCGCCGCCTTAAAGGTGAACAAGCCGTAATGTACAATATATTAGGTCCCTTGCCTGTGTCCGGAAGTCGACCATATTTTGTCTAACCTTGTATAGATAACATCTGATATGCATTATGTTTAAGCTCTTTATAACTGGATCGAGCATGATAAGATCTTTGTAATAGAGGCAGA